GGTCTACACTCATCTCCAGGCCAGCGGTCACTCTTTCAGGGATGAAGATGTGCACATCCTGGATAGAGAGGAACGATGGTTTGAGAGAGGAGTAAAGGAGGCCATCTTTTTGAAAAGAAACCGTCCATCGTTAAACAGGGGTGGAGGCCTCCGTGTTCAATTGTCCCCCTCTTACAATGCTGTGATTGCTAGTATCACTCAGCCCTCTGTGAATAGTAAACAGCCATCAGTGTGCTAATGATCCATTGTTAGGCTGATGGTCCTTCTTGAGCATGTGATCAGCTGGTTTTGGTTGTCAGCAGCAAAACTGGTTGATCCACTCCGAGAAGGTGCTATTTAAGAGACTGAGCTGAATACAGCACCTCAGACTGAGGAAGTCTCTCGGACGAGAGACGAAACGTTTCTACATTTTTTGTTGTTTTGCTTTGTTTTGTTTTGTTTTTTTGAATGTCCAGAGGACCAGATTTAACTTTTTTGGATTCAAAACATTTGTTTTCCAGTGCATCATGTCTCAATGTATTTCTTGCAGTACTCTGACCAGGCCGGCCAGCTTAAATGGAATGTCCAGTTTTGTCTCACCATCCCTCCCAGCGCTCCCCCCATTGCTCCTCCTGGGACCATTGCTGTGGTACTCAAGGCAAAGATGCTTTTCTTTGTAAGTTCCAGCTGTTCGTCCTGTCCACCGTCTCTTCAGTTCCAAACCTTCTGAATATTTAGAGGCTGTGCATATTTGTTTCCACCCACAGTTGCAGCTGACCCAACGCATCCCAGTGCCCCAGGAGCCAGTAACCATTATTGTGCCCATTGTGTACGACATGGCCACAGGCCTCACTCAGCAGGCAGACATCCCCAGACAGCACAGCTCCTCTGGGGCGGCAGCGCTCCTGGTCTCTAATATCCTCAAGAGGTTCAACGAGCTGCACCCAGCCAGGCAGGGTGAGACTCTGAGCTCAGGATCAATTGACTAAACTTGTTATCAGCAGAATGTTTTGCATTTAACAGATTGGCCTTACTAACACGTTCCTTTTCCTCCAGGAGAGTGTACAATATTTGCATCTGTTCACGAGCTGATGGCCAACCTTACTCTTCCTCCCGGTACCAGACAGTAGGAACAACAAACACAGGCAGAGCTGAAACTCAGCTGGACTCCACTAACATCTCCAAGTTTGTTTGGATACAAGTCTGTAGACCCAACACCAACATGTGCTTCTCCTCTGATCAGAACTTTGGGTTCATGCAAATTTGCTGTTAAAAATAGACATGGACAAAAAAGGAGGTTTTTTTTTGTTTGTTTTTTCTGCTAAAGTAGTTCTTAGAAATGATCAACTCTGGATGCAAAATTGTGTAAATATTCAGTTTTTCCTCTTCAGTGCACTTGTAAACAAATGTCTCAAAATTAAGTCTGTTTACAAAAAATGCACCTTGTTGTAAATTTTTGTCTAAAAGAATTGGGTAAGTTAGATTTTTTGCAAGAGCCCTGTTTTTTATGCTTGACTGATACTGTTGTAGTATCGGGATAGATTCCTTGGAACATTATTAGTTATCTTCTTGCCTTTCATTTGTCCGTGTACCTGCTTTTTTATTTAATTTTCTATACTGTAAAACTGATGAATTTTATAAATCAGTTGTGTTTTATTAAGATCCATTTTGAGTCCTAACTGAAGGATCCGGTCTCTCTTTGCTATTTAATAAAACAAGTTCATAACTGGTTTGTTTTTTCAAGGATCTTCTATTGGCATTCAAGCAGAAGTAGTGAAGCTCATTACTTGGACTTTAATAGGAAATTGTCAGAAGAAAGTTTAATTTATGTGATTATTACATACAAAAGTAACCTTGGTCAGTTTTCTCTGTTTGGCTGCCATACAAAGAATTTAAAAGGTTTGTATATTTCTATTTATAGACCTTTGATTGGGAAACAAAACAGGAAAAAGGATGAAACAACTTGAGTGCATACTTACTGGTGTTGATTTTTGGGGTCTATCAGGTTGGGTGTTTATATTTACTGAAATCATTTGATTTTGAAAGTGCCCACAGTTGGATCTTCTTTTACTACAGCAATTTTGTGGTTTCTGACAAAACCAGACTAAATTAAATCTGTATAAAAATAAAGAATGATATGGTCAATGTATGTGTCCATGAACCATACAGGTGCTGGTCATAAAATTAGAATATTATGAAAATGTTTATTTATTTCAGTAATTCCATTCAAAAAGTGAAACTTGTACATTATATTCATTAATTACACACAAATTGATATACTGTATATCAAATGTTCATTTCTTGATCTTGATGATTATAACTGACAACTAATGAAAACAAGTTACGTATGTAACTACGGTTCTATGAATCCCGGATGACCGCCAGAGGACGGTGCTGAAAGCACTAAATGTTCCCTTCACGCATGCGCTGTTCGAGTAATAATACCAACAGAGTCTCAGGTGCGACACGGATGACCAATCGGAGACTATATAGCCCGACGTCATCCGCACCTCTGCTCTTACAGAAGCTTCTCGCGGAATGCAAGGATTCTGAGTGACAGAGAAGCTCTGGCGGTCATCTGGGATTCATAGAACCGTAGTTACATTAAAAAAAGTCCATGCTCAATAATCCAGGTATACAATCCAACATTTTTTACATACTTAACGTTCGTTCTATTTCAACCCTCCTGGCTGCCACAGGGCGGTGCTGAAAGCACTGAATAAGTAATACCAATGATGTCACAAGGAATCCTAAGCACACACCTCACTGAGGAGGCCCTGAGGACCCTTTTCGAAGAACCTGGCCCAGGGGATGAGGGGTGGCCACGTTAACGATGTAAAATCTGGTGAACGTGCTTGGGGAAGCCCATGATGCAGCAGCACATCTTGTTTCCAGCGGAACCCCTCTCAGGGCAGCCCAGGAAGCGGAGATGTTCCTGGTAATGTGCCTTCACGCCGACCAGCAGGGGGCCGTGCCCTGCAGCATAGGCGTGGCAGATGACATCCACGATCCAGTGGGAGAGGCGCTGTTTGGAAAGAGGACAGCCTAACCTAGGGCCTCCGTAACACACAAACGGCTGGTCTGAATGTCGTATCACGGCAGTAGCTGCAACGTATGCCTCCAGTGCCCTCACCGGGCACAATAATTCAGATCCCTCACCAGGCGTAGGCTGAAAACGTGCCAGCCTCAACGGTTGGTTACAGTGAGGGTGAGATAACACCTTTGGTACAAATGCAGTGTTTGGCCACAAGGTAACACCAGAGCCCTCAGGGCCCCACCTGAGACATGAGGGGCTGACTGAGCGAGCATGTAGCTCGCCGACCCTCCTTGCTGAGGCAATAGCCAACAAAAAAGCTGTCTTACATGAAAGCCACTTGAGGTCCACCTGCGTCAGAGGCTCGAACGGAGAGCGGCACAGCTTCGAGAACCAAGGGCAGATCCCAACCTGGTGCTCATGGAGCTGTTGGCGGGTGCGACCTACGGGCACCACGCAGAAAAAGAGAGACTAGATTATGGCTCCCTACCTTACAGCCATCAATGCCAGCGTGATTAGATGATATTGCCGCTACATAAACTTTTGTGGAGTTTATCAAACTTTGTTGTTCAATAAAACTTAGCAGACTGAGAACTTTGTTTAAAAAAACACGTAGCAAGGTTTATTTCTCTTCTGCAGAAGGAGAGAACACATGGAATGGAAACGCAGCCCACGAATTCCTGTGTGTTCTCTAAAAAACATGAGCAATGCAGCTTCATTTATACATCTTCATATGTAACAGATCTTGCTTTGTTATAACAGCCATTACCTCATTTGCAATCTTATCAGAGAAAAAAACAGACAGTACGTTTGTGGTCAGTGACTGGTTCTGGAGCTGGGTTTGAGAAACGGAAGTTACAAAGCTTCACACACTGATGCTGAAGGGATTTAGCTGATAAGCTTTAGCAGAGTGTGATATAAAGTAAATGACTAATAAGTATGATGATAAACTTGATGAGCAAAATAAACTGGTATCAGTGTTTTACATTTCCACAAAGTACTGATCCTTTCTGAGACTCAGAGCTAAAACTGCAGGCAAATATTTTAATTATCATTATAAAGTAAACTATAAATTGAGTAAACATATCAAACTTTTATATTAACAACCCAGAAAATATCAACACTTTAAGCATTGTTGAAATAACATGTAAGATAAAACATAAAGAGTTATTGTTGCTTTTCCTTAAGCTTACAATGAAGTGTCTGTTTTTGGGACGGATTTGGTGACAGTGCAACCACTCCCTGCTGAATGAAATGGGAAGAATGCTGACAACTGATGCAACAAAACAGGGAGTGGGACATTTATTGTTCTTGTGGCAGAATGTTTCAGTAACAGAAACTCTTCTTTAGTGAAAAACAACTCCATATAAGGAAGCTGCAAACTGTTGCTGGACAGAGATGAAATAGCAACGTGTACTACAATAACTTGTTCTGTGACATCTCTGGGTGTCATCTTCAGCATAAATACTTTGTGTAGAATTGCTCACTCAGACGTGACCTTCTGATGGCTGTGTTTCTGTGACTGGCTTGGTAAGCATCTCCTTCCAGCTGGAAACTTTAATAAACCCTTGTATGTATTCTGATATTATGGTCTCTGGCTTATAATTGTGTCTTTTCTCCACAT